TTAATCGAGCTGAATGCACCATTTCCCACGTGTTTTTTTTTTTTCGATTTCAGCCAATGATCTTCTGTCATTGTCTTTATGTTCATGGGACAGCAAATATCTGTCCAAATTTCAGCCATAATTCACAATTCCATAATGAAAACCTGAAAATGGGCTTCATTCCACATTTTATTTTCAAGAAGTGTATGATTCAAGTTGCGTTTGTTTGTTAATTTGCTTGTTTGGTTTTTTTTTTTTTTGCTAAGCATCTAGCAAGTAGACCGAGCCTCCAACACCATTTCAACACATCTGAAATTCAAGGTAATAGTTTCCGCATAGGAGTGGCGAAGTCATACAAATTGATAAAATAGACCGATGAAAAAAAATTAAAAGACAGAAGAATCAATGTTACCGGCGGACTGTGGACCCTGACGTGTACCGGCGGGAGGGCTCGGTCGACGGGACGGCGGTGGCGTGAGCCCCGTACACTCAGGAAATAGATAGTCCGGAGTAATAAAGAACCACTCACAAGACCAAAGGGAAACTCTCCACGGGGATGGGAATAGGACAGGTGGAAAGCGGGGTGAGGGTAATCACTTATCTGCCTTGGGGTCCCAGTCTGACTGCGATGGAAGGAGGGGGGATGGGCTGCCGCCGGCGCCAGGACTGGCGAGCCGCAGGCCCGGAACGCGGAGGGGAAATTGGGACGGTTGTATACCGTCCCAGTGAGCCGACCCTGCCTGGTCAATAATCATGCGTGTTCTCGTCCTCTGCTCTTGTGAGTTAGAAAGATGGATGGATGGCGAGGAAGCAAAGTGAAGTAGATGACGGGACGGGGAGAGGGTAATATTCGGAGGGGAATGGCTCGGCGGGGGGAACTCAATTATGATCGCGGGTGGGCTGATGTGGGGTTGATGATGAGGGTTGGAACATTATGCGGCGACTCGGTGCATCAACTGCATCTGGATTATGCACGTGTTATTCTATACGGTGTCGTTGCGTGTTATTCTAGGGCCAAAAAATGACTTGCTAAATGTTTCTCGATCTTTAAACTGTTATGTTATAGAACAATCTGGGCACGCTATCAGTTCTATCACGAAGGCCCTCTTCAATGGCGAAAGCATTGTGCTAGCTATTGTTCAGATAATCCTCCACATCACAGGCAATTGCTTTGTACCATGGCTTGCACAACTGTCTCTCCATTGAAGGGGGCCCCATGCGTGTACAGCAATCACGTGCCCGGATTCGTCTATAGGCCACAGAAAATGACGTTCCCAAAATATGTACAAGTTGTGGTACAAATGAGAAAAATCCACGTCTTCTGCGTTTCATTCAAAACGAGGGATCAGTGGCTGTCAAAAGCTCAGTTTAATGATATCAAAGCATCATCACAATTAAGTGACTGAGGCATCGAAACTCGAATGTCTGACTCTGAGAATCAGTTAAGATACATGTGAAGAGATTACGCAATTCCAGGATAAAAAATAATTAAGCAGGGGGAAGCCCGCCCTCTAGAGTCAGTTAAGGACTTAACCAGGCTGGGACTTTATCATGTATCAATGGAGGCAAGTTATCCCAGAAACACGTTCAGACCACACCTCGCAAAACTATTGTATCGATACTCATCAACCGAGCAACGATAACGCCAACCATATCGCACAACCCTCCCTGGCAATAACAGCAAACGCGTCTGCATCCACATTTTAGTCTGTTAGCTCATCCTATTCACCGCGCGCAAGCCCAAAAATGGCACCGGGAAAAAAAAAAGGGCTTCATAATCCGGCCAAGCGATGCCGGGGATGTCAGCTGGGAGATGAGCCAAGGAGACGGGGTAATGAGTTCTCGAAACGCGGTCCCACGCTCGGTCCGGCCTCGGCCCAGCACGCTAACACCCTGGTTTCCCCCTTCGCTAAACACGGCCAAATCCCCTTGTGCAATAATGTACTTCGTCTAGAACCCCCCCCCTCCCCCGCCATCCCCTCTTCCCAATGACGTATTATATACGGTTTGTGGTGACGGTTGATGTTTAACATGCGCCTATTCAAATACTGACTGGGTTTGAATGATTGTTTGCATCGTTAGCTGGGGAAAGTGCAGTTATGGATTTTGGAAGTTCGGTTTTGGAGAATGAGACGGTTTTTTTTAACCGTCCCATCAGCTATATACAATAAAGAGGACAAAGCAAATGGTCTTTGAGGTTTGGAAAATGGATAGGGAGGTTTTGTTTGGGAGGAATGCAATCATAGGGTGACGATACGAGCTATGGGCACTTACAGATTGCAGACCATGCATAAGCATGATATCAAAACCATAAGCGACATTTTCATGTGCATGGGCCGTAAAACGTAGCCCAAAACACGCACACACACGAGTGCTGCAAATATAAAGTTGCGTACTTTGAAACAATGCCTACGTGCTTACATTAAATGTATCAAGCCTTAACAGCCAACAGAGGGCGCTGTTGTATCTTAACTCGTCTGAAGAAGACAAAATAATTATTCAGTCAAAATGCATTACTGAAACATTAATTACTACCGTGCCGTGTTTTTTAAGAGAAACATTTTACTGCAAACATAGAATGACGCAGTCATCATTATGGATGTGTGATCGCTACCTACACATTTACCAATGACGTCAAATTTCGTTGAGCTCTCATTGGCTAGATTTGACCTGGGGTCCGAACGCCAGTTCACGAGATGCACGTGCATGACTCATGCCTGTATGTTCCCACAATGCTTTGTGTTTCCTTTACGATAATAATTATGTTTTTAAAAGCATCGACGTTCCGGTCCGGTTGCATTTCTTTTTACCAATAAACTTTTACGCGCCCATCCCGTGTGTTATGCTTCGATGGTTTAGCTAAAAAAAATAATTATCAAAATTTTCAGAATCAATAGGATGTAGTCACGCATGATGTCATTTTTGACAGCAGATGTTGCCTCACCAAAAAAAAATTAAAAATATATGCAATATTTGCCCACAGAACTTATCAAAGCACACTTCAATTAAGCTTAAGCCCATTAGCGTGAAAAGCTGTTTAACCTTACCCTTTGCTAACTAAGAAAGATAATGCAATTTCAAACAACTAAACCACGAGCTTGTGGTAGGCCTATTTACGGACATGAAGCGACCAGACAGAAGTAGTTGGGAGAGCTTTTATGACCCAACATTTGCATATACCTAGCAAAGAGTTGATGGTAGTGTACGTAAGCATCGTCTGTGTGAGGTCGTTAATAGTACAAGCCTGGGTCTACACAGAGTCTAAACGGTTGGTAGCTGGGTTCGAGCACAGATGAAAGTGCAAGTGCGTGTTGAGTCGCTTTTGGTCTTTACATTTTGTTGGATAGCTTTGTTTCATGCTAAGTGTTTATACTTTCACATTATTGCTCAGTAAAGCTATGCTGGTAAGTTCACCCATGCAACCGGGTTGGAGTACGCCAGTACGGTAGCATTCAGTTTGCAAGGCATAGAGAAGAACTCAGCAGAGATACGTTCAGTATTAATTAAATTCGCTCTACGGTGCTAGCTGGACGGTGCGCGATCCCCCAGGTTATTTACACTTTCAAGGGGTACGTGCTCTCCGTTCGGACTATTAGGGCCATACCAATCCAATGTTGGTCGGTACCTGGTTCCCCTTGGCCCTTTTGCGCCCGCCTTTAATAGCTAGAAAACCGTAGGTTGTCTCTGTCAAACTCGCATGGTTTGTGGGGGTTGCGACATGAGAGGTCTGACAATGACAACATGGCGCTGATCATCCATGAAGATAACAAGTTAGCGAGAAAATTTAACGCCAGCCTGCAAAAAAACACGAAGCAGTTATTGTGTGACGACTGTAGGCGACTTAATTTAGATCCTGGTAAGGTTTCCCCTATCACCGGTTGTTTGCCAAATAAGGATGCGAAGACACGCAATTGTACTTTGTTAGTAAAAAAAAAACCATTCTCAAAACTGCCCTGATTATGTCCAGTGCAGTAGCTCATTGCTCATGGCTCGGAAGATTCTAAGCTTACAGTAAAGCACCCCGCAATGTATCCAAATCGCCTAAACGCTTCACGTATTTATCTTTAAGTGCCACCCATTTCGACGCACCGGCCGCGACACGTGCAAAGCGAAGCTTGCGCTAAATTTCGAAGAAAGAGCGGGCTCGTCAGGCGCGCGTGCGTGCGCGTGCATCATCATCAATATTTATGACCCATCTTCACGGTTGAGCGAGCTATTAATATGCATGATTCTCAATGTCAGCGGAAACTGGACCTGACGCATGATGCGCGTGCAGGTTGTTAATATGCATGAGCTGTCAAGGCAACAGATGAAACTGCACATGTCTGAGCATATTCATTAATATTCATGAGTTATCAAAGAAGGCAGTTCAGGCCGAAGAGCAGCGTCTGGTCGCCGAGCGAACTGTCAAGGTGATCAAGGACGCTGTGAATATATAATCATTGGTTGCCATGACAATCATACACAAATTATCTACCCAAACAATGGCACCGCTTAATATATACTGCCACGTAGGACCGAGCATTATTATGGGTATAATTCTGAACTCGAGACTAAGTGGAATGGTCGACGACAGTTTATTGTCATGAGACCGTTGGCTGTGTGACAAAGAATACAAATTGTGATCAGTCAAAATGAGCAAGTCCCCCAAAATAGGCCTCGTAATAGATCCGATTTAATGTAAATCTGCAAAGAAACAACAGTGATAACGGTCCTTTGTAAGGCCCATGCACGCCTATTGGCTGATTATTATGATGTGGACGTACAGTGTGTCGACAATACAAGCATTGTTTGTGTCCCTACTTCGTTCTGAACATTCGCGTGACCTTCAGTTTAAAACGAGGGCCATATTGTCTTTGCTTTTAGAAGCGATACAACCGTCATGATAAAATGGTTGTGAGGGCCTAGGCGGCCTTAAAACCAAAATACATTTTGTTCAAAATATGTTTCCTTTTTGAAAGCTTCACATCGGGTCAAGTTATACCCACACACAATTATGTCCAAAAGTCCACAACACTTACCGTTGTTTTGACTGGCACAAACAGGACCTCTTTAGGCCCTCCTCTCTGCCTCTTACCCGGGGAGCCGAGTTTGAATCCCTTGGCTCGGACCCAGAACCGGAACTTGGTGCTCTCCGTTCCGGCCGGTGCCGGGTTGCCTCGCAGGAAGCCGGCGATGCGCTCGTATTTACGGCGCGTCACCGTCTTGGTCTTGCCGCTGTCTCCGTAGTTGTGGAGGGCCCAGGACTGGTAGCGAGATTTCATTTCTGCGATTTCCTCAGACGAACTCATGGAAGAACTTTCCCCCAAAATACACCAGTCCACAAATTACGTCTTCGAAGCACAACCTCGATAAGAACTTTGCATCTGAAGTATACTATAATCTGATACAAGATCCAAGCTTTTGGTAATTTTGATACGATCACTTCTCGCTCAAATCAGTTCTTCAAGAACAGTCAGTAACCAATATGAGCCTTAGATAAGGTGCGGTCGGGATCAGCAATACGTTCCTTTACTCCTTGCCAATTCCACCTGTTCTGGTCACCACTTTTCAACTGCTGGTTGTTACCAAAAACAGACCCTATCGATCACTTTCATCCCAGTCGGGCCTTGATACAGCGCAGTGTCGGTCGCTCAATTCTCTGTGGTCACATCAATATCGTACTTGTTGTGTCTATACGCTCTGCTGGGTCGGTCTGTAGGCGACTACGGGACGCAGGATTACAAGATCAGACGACCAATGCCGACTACGTCTCCGGAGCGCCAAGAAAAGTTCAGCTGCGTACTCTTTCCCGTCCTGGCCAATGACAGTTTCGCTAAGATTCACAACTCGGCTCGCCTATCCAATCACAAGGGTTCTTATTTATACCTCGGAGAGCTGCGTTTAAATTTGATTGCAAGACTCAGAGTGGATTGTCGTGAGTAAGCGAGCGCGGTGGAATTAAACCTGAACGTCCCAAGGAAGGATCGAAGCACACGCAGGACCTCGGTGAACTCATAACACGTTCAGCGAGCTAGAGTTTCGTAAACATTTTCCTCGGCGGGGTGAGGAAAACAATCAGACCGCGATAATGAAGCCGGGAGCAGGGTGTAAGGCAACACTGACGGGGAGGGTGTGGGTTGCAAGGGCGCGTATCTCAGGCCCCCTCTGTGGCCCTGCTCGGTGATGGGAGAACGCCAAGTCAGGCAAGTCCGGAGAATTAGGGGAAAAGAAACTATAGCTCTGCCTTGAGACTCGACCCGGGGTCACTCTGCCGGTGATTACAACAATCTGGTAAAACGGCCGTCCAAAGGTCCCGTTCGTTGCACTGCAATTCACAATCCCTCCAAACTTGCTGATGTTCAGAGAACAGAAACCTTTCTATCTGACTCCCGTAGGCAGTACCGCACTTTCCAATCATGCTATATGGAAAGGACTGACTACAGATAATCCGCATCCGAAGGGAAAAAAGTTGAGTATTTCCTTGAAATGCTGATGCTCCATCTGCAGCGTTGCCAAAAATACAGTCCCGCCTGTGATTATGACAGGCCTCTGTCTGCGAATAATCATGAGCACCCGATGCACGCACTTTTACTACGAAGGAAAAAAAACCCACCAATATACTTTCAGGTTTACCGCGTCAAATTGGCTGTGGATGTTTAACAGGCCCGCGAGAGACCCGTATGCATGGCACCTTCCCTCCACCGCCGGAGCCAGCCGTTGACGCTGAGACAGAGAGGGACGAAATAATAATAAAACACGGAGAGTAGGACGCGCTGAAACCCCCTCCAGTCCAGGCCGGGACTCTGGGCTCTGGGCACTCAGTCTAGCTCCGCCCCGCACCCACCGTTAACGACGTACAAAGCCCGGCATTGCGCCGGTCTCGTGGAATTATTCAAACGCCTTGTGGTAATGTCATCTCGTGGTATACGTTCCGTCCCCTCGCGCGCACGGAGCGATCAACCATCTAGCGCGTCTCGTCAGAATTGCCCCTCCTGTCCTGCCCACTCTAAACCTACTCGTGCCCGGTCTGTTCGCTTGCCGCCGCTTGAGGAGATAAAAAACACACGAGCGACCACGTGCATCAGTAATGAGTAGTGCTTTTTATAATATTATACCTTACACGGGACAGGGTATTCGTGTAGTCTCTTATTTTTATTGAATGGTTGTGCCAGGGCTGTATACCACTACACCAGGTAAGGGTTTAACGATGCAGCGCTACTGGTAAACCATTATCATTTTACTGAGTAGCAGATAGCTTGCTGCGTATGATGCTTCATCATTGGCGGATCATCATTGGACGATTGACAACAAAAGTTACTACGTGACGCGCTATAAACCAACCATCTAAGCAGCCGTCCCACATTGGGACACTGCCTGCCCGCACGCGCGCGCGATTATTGCATATTCATAATTCGTCCTCTCTCTCTCCCATACTCCATGGGTCGTATATAATTCGTTGCCTAGCTGCACGCTATACACGCCTCCAATGTCGAGGCTAGGCTGAGGTAATAATCTCTCCCCGACATTACAACACACCTACCAGCCCGATCCGATCCGCCGCTCGATTGCTTTCATATTTTTTGCATCTCCCTCTTTTTTGCAATCCACCGCGCGATCGCGAGCGCACACTGCCCGCCCGGAACTTCTATTAAACCCAGGAACGATGTAATTTCGTTCTGTGGGGGACACACATCCTTAATTTTTTTGGCACAAAAAAAGCAGAGCCCAATCGATATCAGACCACTTCGTGAGCAGACCACGGAGATATAGCGAGTAGCCGACAAGGCGATGGAACGTGATCACCGCTGCAATTTTCTCTACCCGCCATATTCTTCCCTCTCTAACTCTCCATCCCAAAAAAAAGAACGAGGGGCTTCTCGCCGGTTTGGCAATCCGGACAGGTTTTTCCCCCAGTTTTTTTTTCTCTGGCGACGCTTAGCTTAGCTGTGTGTCCTTTTGGCGCAGCGCGACGGGGCTCTGAACACGCATGGGACGGATTGATTCGATCTCAGAAAGAGGGGGCAGAATTTTGTTCAGCCGAGGAGATTTAAACCACCCTTGGTATAAGTTCACGCTTCTGGGTCCTAGCTTAAGTGCATCAGAATTAGCAAGTGGCACGGAATCCTTTGCCATCACAGCCGGTCAAGAGGCATTATCTCTTCAACAACTAAAAGTTCAAGTCGTTCGTCCCAGCATTATAGTAAACCCAACATCATAGTGGGGCAGATAGGGAATTTTTTTTTTTTTTGGGGGGGGGGAATTGTGTCTTTGATGATGCACGCTTGGCATTTGGCACACAGTCAGAGTATGTCTTCAGAAAGATATTTGGCTATGGGACCATCGCAGATTTGTCCTTTGAAAACATATAGATAGAATAACGAACAATTTTCAAATTTTCAAAATGGCTGCCGTTGCTTGTTATTCTACCTATATTTTTTTCAAAGGACAAATCTGTGATGGCCCTATAGCCAAATATATCTTTTTCATGACGTACTCTGACTGTCTGCCAAATGCCATGCTTGCATCATCAAAGGCACAATCCCATCACCTATATATAATCTGCCATACTATCATGAATGCATGCTTTCGCTTTGTTGAAACCACAGACAAAGACCCAACAAAAATACCGAATTCGAGAAATTTGATTCATAATGGTTTTTCACTGGAAATCTTTTCATGCCTCTGTGTACACAATGGGCCGGATTTAGCCCATTCATTGGCATTGTGGGGTAATCCTATACAACAGCACTGCCCGGCTCACGAGTGACAGTGAGTCAGTGACTCCGTGACTCAGTGACGTGCAACGAGGTCCTCTGTGGGACATGCAAAAAAAATATCAAAGTTAGGTTCATATTTGCTCGTGCAACAGGCAATGATCACACACGCACCTGCTGATTATGGGCGGGGCATTTGTTGTGCACCCCTTCACTTTTTTACGATGGCAATAATAACTGATGCGCTCAACGGAAAAAAAACAGGGGCTGAGGAACGGCCGTTATTTTCTTGCAGGATTTCCGTGTGAAAACAATCCGACTGCGGTACGGGTCCACGGCGTAAGGTTCTCCTTATCAAATCACAGCCGACCGGCCCCTCTCACCGAAGTTGTTATTTACAGTGTTGCGTGCTCACATTGTCCCGTGCTGAGTTTCCACCGAAAATTGAAAGCTTTCTCCGAGCTCATGGGACCATTACTCCCAACATCTCAGCACTGGACCCACTCACCTCTATGGCATTGCCACAGATTTTAATGACTGGTTGTTTCCAGTTTCTGAGACTTGCATTGGACAATCATAATGAGACTGCCTCTCTTTATGATAGATCCACATTTCATATTTTTGTCTAAAAATGTTGATGAACGCTGCAAAGTTTCATGTAAACTGTAATTTGCAACATCCTATTGATGGGTTCTGATTTCATGTCAAAGGTCAAGGGTCATACAGAAATAATATATTTCAACCTCCATCCCAATTTCTTTGATAGTTAGTGAACCACGTATGAACGAGTGGGCTTTGATGAGACCTGAGAACGAGCGAGCAAACCAGGAAAATAGAGCCTGGAGTACGCAGGTGTAGTATGCATGAGTGTAATCTCAGCACGGGTTAAAACGATCACGAAACATCGGCAATAAATTGGTCTGGACACCCTTCCGATCACCAACGGGGATCCAAGGCATTTGATCCCGTTCAGTTTTTCAGGCGCCTCTCCTCGCGCTCTGGACCCGAACACTATGGGTGTTCAGAGGTATAAAATACGGATTTTTTTTTTACTCTGCATACCCTGGCGAAATCCTCTTTGCAAGGACTAAACACAGAGTCAAATGTTTGAGGAAAGCTGGTTTTGACTTGTAGCCAGGCTAGCGTCTGGGTTTCCGTCCCGACTTGGGGCACAGCGATATTAAATTTGGGACGATTCGTATGTATGTATGTATAGGCCTACGTCTTGGCGGCCTGGATGCCGAATGCTGATCACAACTGGAAGTTTACTTAAGAACTGTCCGATTTATCCCGCGCGCTTCATCTTAAGGTATCTTACACAAAATACCAACACTTGGAAAACTGGGGATTTTTCTCACTTATAAATATCAAATATATTTTCAGCATATTAATATTTCGATATTCGTTACAAAGAATTGTTGTGTTTACACGTTGATATTCAGTTCTATGATTTAAAAGGTTTTAAGTTTTATGTGGAATCAAAGCCGATCGTCATGACGACAGATATTTAAAATTTCGCACAGATTTGACATACACAAGTACGAGAACAAGACAATATATGAATCCTC